AAGTGGGGCCATTACATGGTTTGTCCTTGGGGCCCCACGGGAAGGAGGATAGGGATTTTATGAAATTTTAAACCACGGACAAAATGAGGAGAGAGAAAGAGAGACAGAGGGATGTGCATGGAGTGGTTATTGTTATTGTCTTTGTCTTACCAGTTTTTGAAAAAGTCAGGATTAAAATTTGCTTCATGACTAATAAACACATGAAATAAAAAGTGTTGTGGGAGCGATTTACCTTGTGAGGCGCCTAGTAGTTCGGTAACAATCAGCAACGGATTGAGCGGTTTTAGCTGGTGGCCTTTCCTACCCTTGCCAGGCATGCCGAGCGCCGAGATAGGCTGGTGGTCGGTCGTCGCTGGTAGATGCATGTCTGATTCATGATGTGTAAGGATTTTCAGTTAATACCTGTTCATTTTCTGTCTTGCAGAAGTGACGTTTGATCAGACCTTATCCAATGGCCATGCTGGGAGGTGTTGGTTTCCTTCAATTCTTCCCCTCCCCTCCCCTCTATGCTGCCAGCCAAGACATTCCGTTGTGTTCGCCGAGGCGGTTCGGTTAGGTTTGGTTTCTCCATTGCTTCTTACAAAATATCAACCACGCTTTTTACGTATATTTTGTGTCACTACGCGTGTTTGGTGCAAACACTACGTTGAGGGAGGCTGCGCAGACTTCCCCCCCCCCTCATCCCATTTCCAATCCCACCCCCCAGACTCTGTCTTGTCCGTCTTGCTTCAAAGCAGCTCAGTAAGGAAGGCTAACGGGCCGTATCGCTGCACCCCCGAGACACCACCCCCACCCCCGACCATCTCGAGTCGATGGCTCGTGCATGATTGCCCCCCGCTGCTGCCCGGAGGGAGGGGGGGTGAGCCCAACCCCTGCACCGACGCGGGTCTATTGCGGCCAATACACGTTCCGGTGGCCATTTTTATTATTATTATTTTTTAGCAGATGATACCTTACAACCTTACACTTAACATGACTAGACATAAGTATACATGAGTAATGTAAGGTGTCATTGCTTTTACTCTCGAATAGGAAATATTAAAGAGAACCAATAGGATGCTATATTGCGCTAGGCGAGATGGTGGCTGGTGTCCGTCGCGTCGCCCGCGCGCGTCCGCTACGCCGCGTCCGCCACGCCACGCGTTGTTGCGCCGAGCCGAGCCTAGCCGAGCCTAGCGGAGCCCTGAGCCGCCCGAGCCGAGCCGCGCCCGAGCCGAGTTGGCCGTGCTCCCCACCACCACTGGAGCCCCGCACCGCCGCTCCCCCCGCCCCCGTTTCCCCACCCCACCCTCTTGCTGCTAGGCAGAAAAAATAGAAACAAAACCTCGACTTCTAAACTTACATATACAACGACGCGGGGGCAGGGCAGGAGATGTGGATGCAACTTAACATATTGCACTATTGCGCTCTAAGTAGTACAAGTAGCCCGATTCGCAATCGCCGGTCTCAGAGCTCGGGCTGGTCGGCGTCCCGCGAACTCCCACAGAAATATTATAGACTGGAATAGAACTTTTGACTTGGTATCATCTGCTTTCACGATCCGTTTCTGGTCGGAACTTTTTTCTTTTGTTCAGTGTAAGATACAAGCTTGTCATTTTGGGGGGTTGTAGTAGTTGCAACAAGATAACATTCACAGATGCATATTGCACTGCAAAATTCTTGCAAAGAATTTTGAAGCATTGTAGGGAAGTGTGCATTGCAAACTAATTTCTTCGTAAGTTGCGAAGAAATGGTTTGCAAGGTAATACGAACTAATTGTTTGCAGCGTTACGAACAATTTTCTTCGTAAGGTGCGAAGAATTTGTTCGCAATGCGAAGGATTTAGTTCGCAATGAAAAGCATTTTACAACGCTTATTCAAAATTCTTTGCAATGCAAAGAATAGTTCTTCGCAAGCTTTTTACAGTGTGCAATGGATCAAAAATGTCCCTCGTCATTTAGAGGGTAGTGCTCGTCAATCCCTGGTAGCAAGAAACGTTCTAAGAATGTTCACTGAACGTTCAGGGAACCTAAATAACGTGCTGTAAATGTTCTTGGAAGGTTTAGTGCTACGAGGGATCCACCGCCGTA